ATTTTATATTTTTCAACAAATATGGCCTTTTCCCATTTTTTTTTTTTGCCCATTCACTGTTTTAATTTACAACCAGCAAGACTCCATTTGAAATGGAGTGATATTTGCTCATTCCTATTTAACTTTAGCCAACTAACTATTAATTTGAACCAGGTGAAGCTGTGATTTTGTAGGTCAAAATAATTGTAAGTCAGCAGCGACGTCCTTATTTCAATCTGAAGTCTAGGACAGGAGCTAGGTCTTTCCCACAGCACCTCTGCTGTGTTTTCACACAACTCACATAGTTGGGGATTTTCAGTAATCACTGCTGTCGTGGGTAAAGCAGCCCTATATATGGCTTGACAGTCAATATAGATGGTGTCAATGCAGGACGCAGCCTCAGAGGCGGCGAGACCCCAGCCAATGGCTCCAACAAGCCAAGGCTGGGCCGGTCCCTGCAGGAAAGGCGCAGCAGGGCCTCTGCACCTTGTAGAAAAGTGGATTCCATCACGCCCTCCACGTCTCCTCCCAACTTTCAGTTGCAGGACTCTGAGAGTTAAAATAATGTAACTTCATTAAAATGTTAATTTGTACCTTTGTGCCTATCCCACAATTGAATTTTCAAGTAGTTGATTACATTTCTCTCTATGGATTCAGGAAACCATTAGTCCAACATTATCTAATTTATTAAACATATTTTGGCCGTTATAACTTTTCCATCAGTCATCCCTAAATACACTTAGCACAAATGAACAAGATCTTTGATGTTAATGAAAATCACTTTCTAGAGGAAGCAGAGGACCAGGATTGCAGGTTCAGCGGGAGCCACATGTCCATTTTTCGGGTCCCTGCAGCTCTGAGCCCCGTCCTCTGCTTGGGCCACGAGAACTCTCAGAAAAGAGATTTGTCTGCTGTTAATATGAAGACTGGGGTGAAAGCAGATTTGGGTGTTGATATGAGTGTTGTTAATATCTTTCTTACTGTTGATTTCTTAATTCCTTCTAACTTTTAAAACTTTAAAGAATCTTTGAAAATAAGCATGCTGAAAATATCTTTTAAAAATAAGATACACATTTAGAGTTTTGTGCACAGCCAATTCCCTGTGAAGAAAAGTTCCAAATTTGTGATTCTATTTGCATTTCCATATACACAGAGAATCTTTGTCTGTGCCTATTATGTGACAAATAACAGTGTTGGAAATGGGGGTGTTTGGGGCTCTAATTATGCACATGCTCCCATTCTTGCTGGTGCTTTTACAACGTGAAGCAATACAAAACTTGTATTTTGGTTCAGGAGCTTTTTCCTTAAAGTTGGTATTTTAACTAGCGGTGGCCTCATTTAATGTATTTAGAATAGTTTTGTAAAAAATGTTTAAAATGCTAAAGTGCCACTGCTCCCGGGAGGCAGATTCTGGGCTGGAGATGAGCATTCAGAGCGTTGGGTAGACAGAGCCCAGTGGACCAACCCCTTGGGGGAGGGAGGGTAGGAGCCAGCACTGGGAAAAGTGAGAAGCTGAGCTTCCATGCAGACCTAACATGGGCCTCAGCCATGGCCTCAGTGAGCACTGACAGGGCACTGCTGAGCCGCCCTGCATTGGGCTGAGGGCTCAGCTATTAGGCCTCACATTGATTAGAGCGCCTGGGACCAGGCCTCAGCATGTCAAGGAAGGAGCAGCGAGGTCCAAAGCTGCAAGGCCTTGTGGTCGAGGACCACAGATAAGTCAGGGGTGACTGGTATGGAGGGACATCCTTCACTCCTGAAGAAGAGCAGGGATCCCACACAGGGACTTGGGGCTCACTCTGGTTCTGTTCCCATGTTCCTACCTTGATCAATATAAATTACTTAACATTAAGCAAACTTAAAACGTCAGTCTCTCAGTTGCACTAACCACATTCCAAGTGCCCCAGAGTCCCATAGTGGACAGCACAAAACATTTGCATGTTTGCGGAAAATTCTACTGGAAAGTGCTGCTCCACCCTGCACCCCCCCACCCCCCACCACATCCTTCAGGGGCCCTGCTGCCTCCCTGGGGCACTGCAGGAGGGAAGGGCCAGTCTCCTTCCCTCCTTCTGACCTCTGCCTTTCTGCATCCTTCAGTGGGGGGGCGGGGGGCATGGAGAGGGGATTCTCTCTTTAGTGACCTCAATCCTTTCTTTGCTTTCATAGTTGACAGTATAGCTTCAGAATCCAGAATCCACAATTAATGGCAACTGAAGTGTTTCACTTCCTCCAGGGTAGGCCGGAGAGGGGTGTAGGAGGGGATATTGTATTCATCAGAATTTTGGTTAAAGAAAAAGAAGAAAAGCATTAAGTTGTCATATTAAAATAAACATTCATACCCTAGCACATTAATATCCAGAGATCTAGCACTGGCTAGCAAGAAATTAATTGAGAACAGTAAAAGGATGACATGAAGTATATTTTAAAATATAGCAAATGAAACAGTTTAGTTTCAGCCTCCTCCAAGACAAACCGCGTTTGATGATGATTAAAACACTGCTTCGTTGGGTGAACCTTCCCATGAGTCACCATCTTTACTTATTCAGTAAATATTGTGCATTTGACTTTAGTTGCTGATTCTTCCCTGATATTCTAGCTACTTGTTATTGAGGAAACAATTTACAGCACTGTATATGTTCACACCTCCATAGATGCAAGTTATCACACCATGTTCATAATCTTCCACCATAGCCATTGAGCCTCCTTCACGTTTTGCTCCCATTCTCCTGTTCTGGTAGCCTCAGTTCTGTAGTTATACTTCTCGGATTTTGTTTCGTCTATTCCTCTGCTTTGTTTTTTATAGTCCACACATGAGTTAAATCATTCAGTACTTGTCTGTCTCCTGGCTTATTTTGCTTGGCATAATCCCCTCTGGTTCCATCTATGTTGTTGCAAGTGACAGGAGTTCATCTTTTTTATGGCCGAGTAGTATTCCATTGTGTGTATATAGACCACATCTCCCTAATCCACTCATCTGTCCTTGGGCACTTAGTTTTTTCCATAACTTGATTATTGTGACTAGTGCTACTGTAACCCTAGGAGTGCAGATAGGCCTTGAGTTAATGATTTTGTATTTTAGGGGTAGATATCTGGGAGTAGAATTGCTGGATCATATGCTAGATCTATTTTTAATGTTTTGAGAAACCTTCATACTCTTTTCCATAGAGACTGGGCCAGTCTACATTCCCACCCACGGACTATACCTCTTTTAAAAGTTTTCTGAGAAAACTCTCCCAGCCTTGAAATCTAATATCTGTAGTACATGTATTCTGGAGTCTAACTAAAGGTCTGCCACTGCCAAGACGGCTTATGATCCTTAAAGACATTTTCCCAGCAGGCATTTAATACATATAGAGAAAGATGGAGTTTAAATTTTATTTCTGCAGGCCCCCCTGTGAGGTCTATGGGAAGGAAAATCAAACTTATGCTCATGTTCTTCTGTGTAAGGTGTTGATCTAAATCACACATTCCTACATGGATTGAATTTTTATAAACTATAATAAAAAATATACAACTGCACTATCTGAAACAAGGTTTTTTGTGCCACCATGTAGGAGGGTTGCTATTAAAAAAAAAAAAAAAAAAGGTGTTTATCTGTAAGAGCCCATCCATGAGTTTGATGCTATAGTCTCTCAGACTAGGTTTCATGGCTTCATTCATCATTCAGTTATCAAAGTGTGTAGAAATGAGCTTTCTGGGGTGATGATCAAGGAGCATATGACCAAGAATCACTAGTCAAATGGGGACAAATTACTAATTAATACTATTCATTTGGTTACATGCCCAGAGCTCCAGTGTAAAGGTCGTAAAGATTTGATCAAAGAATCTGGTTTAGGATGAGGTGAACCCAGGCCTCCTGACTCCTTCCCAAATACAGATGATAAGAGCAGCATGCTTGTCGGAACCAGCAGATGGGAGTCGGTGGGGACTGAGGCTCAAAGTCCAAGCCTAGACTTTTCTATCTCTTGCATGGACCTGGATCATCTAGCCTCAGGCAAAACAGAGAAAGGGAGTGATGGCCTCACCTTTCAAAGGAGTTACCCTGCCTGCCAATGAAATGTGTCCAGTAAATGAGTCATTTTCCCAAGAGAAGAGGAGCTGTTTAGGGTGGAGAGAGGAATGTATCCCCTCTCCAGATCTCTCTCCTCCCTGAAAAGAAAGGGCAGACGCCCCCAACTTGGTCAGTTGACCAAAGCAACATAGGAATTTTGAAATTTCTTCTCTGCCTACAAGTAATCCCTGTCTTGTAGGAACATTGAAAAGTGGGGGGGGGGGTACGTAAAATATGTAAATTTCCCACTTCAGCTAAGCACATGTCCAGCATGCTTTTTGGAGTCTCCCTCCACACTTCTATCTTAGGAATTTCCCAAGGGAGGGTGCTGAGTGCGAATGGTCTGCCATAGGTTTGTGGAACTGAATCTATTGATTTTATTTATTGAGACCTTGGCACGCTTGCTATTGAGCTTATTTAATTTAAAAAAAATCATAGAATTACAGAATTAAGACAGAAAGGGACCTTTGAGATCACACCGCATCTCCTCAGTTTACAAATGAAGGAACCAGGGTCCAATGAAAGGGCAAGCTGGAGTCTAGCTCTCAGCTTTCCACTCCGGGACTCACTGGGAGCTCCTAAGGCCAGTATCTCAGTCACCTCTATGCCCCCACACCCCCAAAGTGTGGGTGTGTTGTTAGCTCTCTGAAAAATATTTGTTAATTGAATTAATTCGCCTATGCCCTTTGGCTAGCAAAGTGCAGCTTGTAGTTTGGCAAGACTACTGTGAACATACCAACTTGTGATAACTTCATTTATTAACTTTAATTTGTGTAACCTCATACCACATATAGGGGCTTATGGCTAGACTGTTTCATGGAATATGTAATGAAAACCAAAATGTTTTAGCATCATATATATATATATATATATATATATATATATATATATATGTGTAACATAACATGTATTTTTGAGGATATATCAGAGGGTACTGTACCACTTAGCACATGTTGTATTTTTATTTTAGGTAGGAGAAGTAATCACAGCTGGTCATCGCTCTTCCAAGTCTGTGAAAAGTATCGTGGACCGCGACAGAGAGCAAACAAACAACAGGTCTGTGCCCAGATATACGATGTTGTTCTCTTCATTATTGTTTGATGACTGGAAGGCTCTTCCCAAAAAGATACAATTGTTGAAAAGAATTCATACCATGAATGTTGGTGTTTACTGTCCAAACTCTATATCTGTAGGGCTTTTTAATTCCAAAAAACCAAATCTGTGTACATACAGGTCCCAACTTATTGTGATCATGAGTGGCGATGTCAACACCAGTAGCAGTGAACAGGCACCGATACAGGCACTTGCTCTGTGTCGGACATTTCATCCTCACCATTGTTACCCTCAGCTTACAGCCAGAGAGAGAAGAGAGAAGTAGGTTGTCTGAAGCTCATGCAGTCCTGGCACGTTGGGGCATACAGCTGTTCACACTTCCTCCCTTTATCGACCTGCATGTCACCTCATAGATCCCAAACTCTCAGGGCTGCAAGAGCTAAGAAGCTACATTGCACACTCTCCTGTCAATCACCTAACCTCCATCCTGCAGCCAGCAGGGACCTCTCCCTCCCAGTGCTGTCCTCAGTACCCCAGGTGTCAGAAAGCCTCTCTTTGCTTCCTAACTGAAGATTCCAGCTCTACCCCCTGGAGACTCTTAGAAGAAATCCCATCTCCCACAAGCAAGGACACCCCCTAAAGTATTTTGGACAAATCCTTCAATATTCTTCATTTCTTCCTTAGAATGAGAATCCCAGTCCTGTCGACTTTCCTTCTAATTGTCTCACCAGATGGTAAAAGTCTATTTTGAACCAAGGCGAACTATCTTTGTGCTACAAATGTATATGCTGGAATTATCATTATAAAAATACCTGAGCAGAGCTATATTTATGTCTTGCATAATACAAGCAGCCAAGCATACGTATGCTTGTGCAAAGATAACTACTGAAGTTTTTCAAATTATCAAGCACGGGGTTTGTTTGAACAACAGGTACGGGATTGAATTCTTTCTGAAAAGTAGGTTGCTGTTTTTAAACCTTGGAAATCCACACTCGTATTTCCCAGCTTAGTGATTTCCAGTTCAGATACATGTGTAATTTACAGAGATTCAAGGGAATTATGACTGTTATGAATATTCACAGTGATAATTAACCCCCAGCAGCATCAACACATATAAAGAATCTGAATGTAATTTGTGAGGAATCACAGGGACGGGAAGCCATGTCATTGCCAACACTTTGGCGCTAGTTTCCAGACCCCAGGAAGCCATCATTACTGTGATTACACCTGAAGAGTAGGGGTGTCTCAGCGCCACGCCTCGTAGTGGTATCTCCTATAGTATTTTTGAAAAGCTGTTCTTTTTCATCGTGTGTCTACGTGAAGGCTGTTTGTGGGGCTCGCTCATCGTGGGCACGCTTTGTTTTCCACATTATCTCAGCCTCCGGCTTGGTAACTCCATTAACCAAATAGCTGCCTTGAGTCTGCACACAGGAGTGAGGGCCGCAGGTTGTTGGCTTGAGAGAAGGAAGGACTCCCTGCAGCAACGCGCTGAGAGGGCCGCACAGGCCTCAACGCTCTCAACACACAACCAGAGCCAACTTTCCTTATGTGGTGGAGACCGTGAGGGGAGCTCAGGCAATTGGGGTAGAGATGCCAGGGAGTGAGATAGGCTGTGTTCCTTCCAGTCAAGGACAACACAATTATAATAGATGCATTTATCTAATGACTAAATTAAGCCACAAATATCAATAGCCTTGCACACAAGAAGAGAGTAATTAAAAATAATACTATATTCAATAACGACTGTAATGTGGACCTTTGCAAACTGCAACTTCCTACACAGTTTATTGTGTACGATCTTTCTTCACCATACACGTCTGCAAACTCTTGATACTGTACGTTTTTCTTCTGCAGCTCTCTGCATATTAGTCCAAGTACTAAGAGGAATGAAAAGCTCCAATGCCTTCCAGGCAAGAGCAGATTACAGAAATGTGGGGTGCGGGGGGAGGGGTTTGTGAGAAATGGAACCTCCTTCCCCATCACACTGTGTCTGCTACGTGGTTTGGGTCTGAGGATGTCACTTTGGAGCTTCTGAAATAGATTGACGGTCTTTTTCTTCATAACCGTGATCATTTCTTATTTTACTTCATTATCCCACAATAGTTTAATATTTGTTCCCCACTTATTCAACAAGTATTGATTCAGTAGAGCTGTCTGCCAAGAATACCAGATGAAAACAGCAAAATCTTTGCTTCCAAGTTGTCAGTCTAATAGGGAGAACAGACCCGTTATGAGACAATTTCATGACAGTGCGCCCACTTTTATACTCTAGAGAGCATGATACGATGGCCCCAGGAGACTTGGCAACTAGTGTAGGCTGGCACTGCTGGCCCCAGCACAGCAGCTCGATGGAGGAGGCACTTCCTAAATGTCTGTGCAATGATGGGCTGAATGGAGCAGTGATTCCAAAAAAGCTGACCATCAAGATCACTGAAGGGGCTTTATCTTAATACAGATTACTGGACACAACTCCAGGTGTGTAGAACAGACATTGCCAGGAAAACAGCCCAGTGGCCTGGGTTATTAGAGTTTTCTATATAAATGGGAATCACTGGTCAGTGAAGATTCTTCCTGGTTCTGTTTTGCTCTGGCTATTGCCCTGAGAACTGGGTTTGGCTGTAGGAACAGGCTCCCCGGGAGGGAGCTTAGTGGGCTCAGCTCTGTCTTGTGCCTGAACGTGTAGGCTCAGGGCCCTTGCAACCCATGGCAGGTTGGATTGTCTAAAGCAGCAGGGACCAGGAGCCTGATTAGCTGCATTCAGGAGTAAGATCTGCCTACAGTGATTCTATTATTGATTCTGGCTGTTGGTTTGGCCGGCTGTGTCATGTCAGTTATCAAAAAAAAAAATATATTCTGAAATAAGCGGAGTCTCCCAGCTGAACTTGCCTCCAGCAGCACAGCCTCGTAGAACTCCGTAGACTTCCTTTCTCCAGGGGTTGGGCTCTTGAGCCTGGAAGCCTTCAAGCTCCTGGGAACCAGGCACAGTCTCTTATTTGCAACCCTGGGCTTCAGTACTGGCGCTTGCCCATATTTGCTGAGTACATGCATGAGCGAGTTGCCTCTACTTGAGCTTTAATTTTAAATGATTTGTCCATTTCCTCCTGCCCCTTTGTAGGAGCAAGAAAATTGAGAGACTGGAAGTCGATCCCAGCACGCGTTCCTTCCCTGATGTGGCTAACATTGTTCAAGAGAACCGACATGCACCCAGGAGAGTTCGATCTGAGCCCAAACTCAGGCCAAGTGAGGACGAGCCGGACTTTGAGGATAACCCGGAAGTGCCTCCGTTGATGTGAAACAGGGGTTGCGTGGACCGTGACCCACCAGCCCCGTGTGCTCAGTGCTGGCGTGTGTGCAATCACTGACGGGGCTACCCAGAGCTACCTGCTCATCAGTATTACAGCTCCAGGGGCTTAACTCCTACCTTGCATGGAAGAATCATTAAAACTAGTTTGAAATTAAGTGTGTACGTTAAAAGTCCTATAACTCATCATTTGTCTGTTATAAAGTGGAGGCTACTGAAAATGTTCAGTAAATCATAGAGCTATTACATAACAACACTGAGTATAAATCACAGTCCTGCCTGCCTATGCGGGTAGCTGAAGTCATAGATTAAAAGCCTGATGATTAAATTGGTGCTTCAGTAAATTAGTCAAACTCTGAAGTTAAAGAGCAAATTGGAAATGCTTTAGCTTCTCGTGTTCTGTTCTTCCTCCAGCGCTTGGCTGGTGAGGCGGCAAGAGAGTGAGTTTGGGAACCAGACACCCTGGATGCAGATGGCAGCTCAGTCGTGTCATGAAGACCTGTAGCTGCTCGGAGCCTCGGGGCCCTGACCTGCCCCGGGGAGCCTGCCGCTGCCAGTGTCTGGGTCTGTCTCACATGGGGGGGGTCCTCGCCTAGGCTGGTAGGCTCTGCCTTCTCTCCTCTTCCTCCCGCCCCTGCTTTCCCTGTGTCCATATTTTCTTTTTTCCCTTCTCCATTCTTGTCTTCACCTTCTTCCTTCGTCTCTGCTTCCTTTTTTACCTTTTAAACATCGGTACCTCTGCCCCTCTGAAATATTCCACATACGCTATGGAAACATGATTGTTACTCTGATCGTGTTTCAGTCAGTTTCCCCCACAGCATTTAGCACATCCTCCTGAGCAACCGTGGGCTCGGCCCTGCTCGATTCCTCAAGGGGCCCCTGGCCACAAAGGACTCAGTGTCTCCACACACACCTGTCAGGTGATGACAGCATGAGGGAGAGTCAGGGTGATGGGTCAAGGGAGACGAGGTGCTTTGTCAGACCAGGAACCCCTTTAATAAGCACATTCTGTGCAGCCAGCACAGAATTTGGCACTTGGCCACAGAGTGCCACCATCCCTGACCCCTCCCTGGGACGGGAGTGGGGAGGCATGGGGGAGGTGGGGGCAAGGCAGAAGGTGGAAGGACCTCAAGGAGGTCTGTGGCCCTCTGGCTCCTCCAGCAAGCAGACACAAAAGCAAGTTAGAAGGCAAGAGGTTTACTCAGGCAACGCCTGGACAGGCTGAGGTGGTGAGAGCAAGAAAGGAAAGCCTCAGACTTCAGACACAGAGATGAGGAGGCAGGAAAAGGAGCCTCAGACAAGGCAGAGAAGCTCTGAGACGGTCTCAACCAGCCTGACGGGGGGCATCACACAGACTAGATGGACACACTGCCTGGGAATGACCCAGCTCAGCTGACCCTTCAAGGTCGGTTAGCGGCCTGGCCAGCTGTAGAGGAAGCGTTGGCCACAGCAGGTGTTGGGTGGGATCCCCAGGACACTGCAACTCTGGGCTCTGGGCTCCTGGCTCCTAACTACAGGCAGGGCCTCTCGTGGAGAGACCCGAGCAGCCAGCTCAGCACAGCCATAAGACCCCTCAGATCACAGCAGAATTCCCTCCAGCCCCACCCATGTTGTCACAAATGGCAAGATTTTGTGATTTGTTCTGTTGTTTTCTTTTCTATGGCTGAGTAGTATTCCCTTGTATATAGACCACATCTTCTCGATCCACTCCTGTGTTGTTTGGCACTTAGCTTGTTTGCAGAGGGCGAGGGTGGGGCGTGGGGAGCATTGTGGGGAAGGATACCAAATGGACCGTGGTGGAGGGAGACAGGGCCGGGGTGGCAGGAGAGAGGCTCAGGCATGGTGGGAGACAAGGGTTTGTTGTGATTTGATGACGATGCATGTGGGAAACATTCAGCAGGACGTTTGCATGAGTCTGGGATGTGGAACCTGGTGCCCCAGCTACTCTTTCCACATTCCCCCCACGTCGACCCACAGCAGCTCCACCAGACGCATTGTCTTCATCATCTCCAGGAGAAAGAGAAGCTCACAGCGTGAGGTCCCCTTCCAGGCCCCGGCCCCAAACACTCTGCAGCCTGTGTGTCCTCTCTGGATTTTCCTGCGTGTGTTTGTTGGCTGCTCGATGGCCGTCACCCCCCACTGTCCCCAGCACAGCTGTTCGGGCCTCTGCGCTGCTCCTCGCTGCGTCTCCCAGCCCTGCGGCAGAGCCCCTGCCTAGGGATGGCCTGAGAATGTCAAGAGAAGGCCCCAGGGAGGTGCGGCTGCGGCTCAGCCCCCAGGGCCGCGTGCAAGTGTGCTCCCGCCTGCTCTGGGAGCCTGCCCTGCCTGACAGCGGCCCCCAAGAGCATGTCTGGCACTGCTGGCGTCTGGCACAGCTTGCCTGACACATTTGGATGGAAAGTGCTACCCCATCTCCAACCGACACACGTCAGGCCAACCTGTCTGTCACGCCTGGAGCAGACCTTTGTGGAAACGGGCTGTTCTTTTGTACCTCACTCCTTTCTCCCCGACTGGCACTTTCCTGGTGTTGGAGATAGACGATCTTCTCCGCCCTGCGGCAGGTCTCTCCACTCAGCAGACATGTGCTGAGCACCAACGAGGCACAGTGAGCCAGGCCAGGACCATGGAGGGGTCTCTTCTGAGCCCACGGCCTGGCCCTCGCCCTCCTTGGCTGTGCGGTCTCTCCCTCCAGCCTCCACATAAAGACCGGTTCCTGGTCGCCCAGGTGACCCCCAGCCTGGCTCTCTTGCCGATGCGGACCTTGCCTTCCCCATGTGAACCCCTCCCGGGGCACGTGAGCTGGCAGCTCTAGGCTGGCGGCCCTGAAGTCTCCATTTCTGCACTGAGCTGCCTCCCTGGCTTCTGCTCATTGTCCTCTCTGCTCTCCTGCATGTTACCTTCTTCTACCTTCTTTCTTTTGGCTTTTGTTTCAGGGGTGCACTTTCTATTCATGCTGACTGGACAACCTCACCTCACTTCCTGTGGCCTACGGTCAAGGCTAACTAAGCCCTGTCTGAAGAGTCCCCAGAGCATGGCGGCTACGGGCACCTGAGCACCCCGGAGAACAAGGAGGAAGAATAAGGAGGAAGAATAAGGCAGAGCGTTCTCAGGACCTCGCCTTGGAGGTCAGCTCCCTCCTCCCTCTGCAAACCTGTCCAGGCTCACGGGGAGAGGACACAGTCTCCACATTTGCTCGAGCAGTGGAAACTCTCCTCACTGAGGGGAAAACAGGCTACCTCAGTGCTGTTCCTCTCCTTGAAGCCATGTTCTCTGAGGTGACGGTGTCGAGGAGGTGATTCTTCTGTTGTATGAAGAATGGATGTGGACGGTGGAGCCGGGAGCTGCATGCTTACTCTTACCTCAGGACTGTTTTTATAACTCACACCACTGCTGCCTCCCCTTCCTTTGGAGGATTCTAGAAAGAAAAATTTTTATAAGTCAAAGCAGGGTCGACTAAAGACCCTTGAGGCAATCTGGAAGGGTTGTTCAGAGTTATGGGTTGAATTGCATTTGATGCTCCTTAGGTTATGCAGAGAAAGACAGGAGAGACTTTTTTTTTTTTTTTTAAGATTTATTTATTTATTTATACAAGAACCCGGGTACAGGCCAGATGTGTGGGAGGGTGAGAGGATCCACCAGAGACAGAGTGGGGTACAGAACAGGCAGACTGACTGAAACACACTGCTGAGGGGAGCAGCGGGTGCGACAGAGAGGTCTGCTGCACCATGTGGTATTCTCACCAGCCGGCCGGGATTGAACGGTGCTGCAGAGGCTGCGGGCAGCTTCACAGTGCTGCACTTGACCACCTGCACCACCAAGGAGGCCCCAAGACAGGAGAGACTTTTATACATTTCTTTTGGTCGTATTTCTTTAACAGGAATGCTGAATGGCGATCCCACGCTTACCCAGCCAGGAATGTATTTCCCAGTGTTTGCCTTGCATCCTCTCTAGCCCAGGTTTCCCAAACGCTCAGTATGTGGTGCTCTCAGCATGAGATGTCATGGCCTGGTCTCAACGTCCCCTCAATGTGCTCCCAGGGTCCTCAGGAATCTCTCAGTGTCAGTGTTCCTCTCCCCAGCTCCCCAGCACCCATGGGGACATCCTGTCCTCCAGGCTCCCCTCCCTGCTGCTCTCCATGGTTCACCATGCATACACTAGGCCCAGGTCATGCCAGTGTGTCTGACCATGGCACATGACCCTTTACTTAGGGGCCTCAGGACAGTTCTTCCTGGGCCCCCAGACTTCAGAGCATGAACTGCTTTTGCATTTGTTGAACACTTCTCCCCTGCCCTATGTTGCATGCAGGCAGCAATGCTGAGTAGAACTGACAATACCCTTTTCCTCTCCAGGTGTGTTTTGGTCTGCAGGTAAAAATGACCGCTGGCCAGCAAGGTGTTCATAATGAGAGAGCTGGTGATGGAAGGCTCCTTGCCACCACGCCCCCGCCCCCAAGTCAAAACACATTCTGCATCTCAAGGAGGAATTTGCGGATTCTTTCGGAGGGGGTCCTAGCACTCATCCAGCAAAGAGGGCAAAGAACAGGACCTCCTTCCATCCCTGTCCTGTCACCCAAGGGTGAGGCATCATGTGCTAGGATTTGATGGGTGTCCTGAACGTTCTTTCCTCTTCTAGTATCCTCTCTTCACATGCCCTTACTAATCCTCTTCCCAACATGACCCCAAACACCCTATTTCCTTCTTTCCAGATCTTTCTGTAGAAATGATCAAATCCCAAATCTTCTCTTGGACCTCTATTTATCACCTGCATCATCCAGGAAACCTTGGAAGAGAGGGTGAACTCCATCGCTGGGAGATCGTTGTGTGAGACTCGGGTGGGGTGACCACAAAGGGTAAGCTCTAGTTGTGCACCGGGGCACGAGGTTGGGAGGGAATCATTCACTCTGAAATCCAATATAAAACATGCCTCACACCTGGAAATTCTTTCCCCCAAATCCTCTTTGGACTCTGTGTGATAATCACACTCTTTCAGGTTATATAACCTTGGTCTCCATTTCTTGAGTTCAATCCTTGCCTTATGTATTTAGAGGTTGTTCAGTCACTGCCTTGAGTGACAATGGACAATGCAGCACTGTGTGCCCAGCTCTCTTATCCTGAAGCCCTGGGGTTTGTATTTCTGTAGACTGCACCATGCAAAGAACCCTCTCTCCTAAGCCGATTTCTCCAGGCTCTGCAAAGGACAGCTGATTCCTGGAACAGCACATCAGGCCAACCTCTACTCTTTTAGGTCAAGCTCTCCTCCAAGCTCTTTGTGAGAAAAGAGCTCCAAGGGCAGGCATAGATGGCAATCCTCAGCAGAGCCTGCTTGCTTGGCTGGC